CCCTCCTGGGTGTTCTGAGGTTGTTTTGACCGACAGCTCTTGGGGCTTCTTTTAGCATCCCAGACAGATCTGTTGTTTTCCAAATTTTGTGGTTTTCAGTGCTTCCACAGCTCTGATGTCTTTGAAAAGTCATGGAGGAGGGAGTGTGATGTGAGGTTGTGGGATTTTGGTGGTTTGTTTTTTTTTTAAAAAACCTCATAGGCAGCACTGGTTAGTGGTGAGACCTAGACAGGAACACTGGCCGGAAGGAAAATGGAAACTGGTGTGACCCTGGCCACTGCTGGGAAATGAGCTGCAAACCTGCCTCTTGGGCCGGGGTGATGAGCAGGCTCCATCTACACGCTGACACCTCATTTCCACCCCCTTCTCTTCCCACACGCAGGACGGCTCTTGCAACGGTTTGCAGCACTACGCAGCTCTCGGCCGGGACCTTATTGGTGCCACCTCCGTCAATCTGATGCCTTGCAGTGTCCCCCAGGACGTCTACAGCGCGGTGGCCCAGCAGGTGAGGCACGGCGGGGACACGAGGAGGTGTCCTCTTGGACCTACCTGCACCCCTCCCCTGTGTGTCGCGCAGGGTCACTCCAGCTCCCAAGGAGAAAGGTCGAGATAAGAGCAACATGCAGAGGGCTGGTCCGAGGCAGAGTCTGTCCCTCCCTGAGCCCTGCAGCAGGGATCTGGCTGGAGATCTGTCCTGACCGAGGCAGCTCTGAGAAATCCACTGCGATTTCTGCTGCTCTCGCTTCTGAATGAAGTGCGGGAGAAGGAGGGTGGAGAGGTGGAAGAGCAGAGAGTGTTCCTGACCTCTTGGTCCCAGCTGGCTGGCCTGCAGGTTATGGGATTTTCTTCGTTTGAGCTGGATGGGAGAGGGGAGAGATTCTGTCCTTGGCTCTGCTGCCAAGTCTTCAGATCTCTTGGCAAGACGTGATGTGAAATGAGCCGCTAGGAAGTGTTCTGAGGTCTGCCAGGCTCGCTGGGCTGGCGCTGAACCCCCGGCTCTCCCCTCCAGGTCTCAGCACGCTTTACACAGGCAGCACCGCGCCAGAGGGCGCAGGGTTTGCTCAGCAGCGCTATCGTTGAGGGAGGCAGGAGCAGGAGGACCTGAGCCATGGTCCCAGAGCCGGGTCCTTGTGCCTCCCGGCACCACCCCGCTGCTGAGTGACACCGCTCTGCTGAGGCAGCAGCGGAAAGCTCTGGTCCCCGCGGCGCGGTTACCCATGAGGTGCAGGCGCCTCTTGATTCCTTCAGCGGGTGATCTCTGTTAACCAGGGCTGGGGCAGGTGGGCTGCAGGGTTTCTGGTGGGAGTGCAGGCGGGGCAGGGCACAGCTCGGAGGGACTCTGTGGCTGGGCCCGGCGTGTTTTTTTTTCTGGCATTGGAACTGACCTGCCGGGCGCTCTCCTCCTCAGGTGGAGGAGTTTCGGAAGAAGGATGCCGAGCACGGGGTGAGGATCGCGCGGGTGCTGCAAGGCTTCATCAGCCGCAAGGTGGTGAAGCAGACGGTGATGACGGTGGTGTACGGTGTCACCCGCTATGGCGGGCGCCTGCAGATGGAGAAGCGTCTCAAGGAGATCGACGACTTCCCTGAGGTAGCGTGTCTGCCCCGGCCTGCCCCAGCGGTGTTCTGCTCAGCTCTGGGTCCCCGCAGGGAGGGGAGCCCTTCCCGTGGTTTTTCTTCCTGCTTTGCTCTCTCCTTACCTCCAAATCTCAGCTGGCAGAGGGGCAGGCGCGCCTCAGCCCCCAGTCTGTGCCAGGTTTGTCCAGCCTGCAGGAGAGCTGTCTGCCAGCACCTGTGGGTGGGGAGGGAGGCTGGTGGAGGCAGTTTTTGAGGCACTAGGGGGAAGGGAGATGCTCTCTTAGCTTACCCTGGTTCCCGTCACTTGGCTCCACATCTTTGGCTGCCCCTTGGCCTGACCCCTCGCTCTGCCTCTGATCTCTGCAGGAATACTTGTGGGAAGCCTCTCACTACCTGGTAAAGCAGGTGTTCAACGGCATCAAGGAGATGTTCTCAGCGACTCGAGATATCCAGGTAAGGTGCCTCTTGCCTCTTATCTCTCTCTCTGCCTCTTTTTCTTCCCTGGCTCACCCTTACATAGACCAGGGGGTGCTCTCTGGGGAAAGATGGTTCTTCTGGGTCCAGAGAGGATCCTCCTGTCCCAGCCCGGGGTACAAGGCCAGGCTCCCCTGTAAGCTCTGCACTGTCACAGGAGATGAGGTCACCTGTGCTGGGAGGGGATGAGGCCTCCCAGCTGTCCACACTAACGTGAGCCGCTTTCTTCCCTGCTTCCCTCTGCAAAAGAACTGGCTGACGGAGAGCGCCAAGCTCATTGCCCAGTCGGGGCAGACGGTGGAGTGGGTCACGCCGCTGGGTCTCCCCATTGTGCAGCCCTACTATCGGTCCAGGCCCGTCGTGGTGAGTATCTGGCGTGCAGGACTCATCTGCCTCTGCTCTGCTGGGGGGCGGGGATAGGACAGCCGGGCTTCGAGGCAGAGGCCTGGACCCCGGCAGGTTGGCATCACCTACGGGTGAGCCCGGAGAGCAGGTAGGATTTGTGTGTGCAGGCACATCCTCCAGCCTCGTCGCTCCCCGCAGAGACCGGAGTGTGTAGGTGGGCTGGTGAGGAAGCTCTGCTGCTCCCGTCCCACTCAGGCAGCTGGGGCACGGGCCCGCTCCCTCTGCCGAGGAGCCTTCCTCAAGGCTCGCGTTATTCAGTCGCCCTGCTCTCGTCTCCCACGCTCTCTGTGCTGACTCACATCTCCCTGGCCTGTCTCGTCCTCACAGCCGCTCACCCCCTAGAGCCCTCGCAAGGGGGATCAGCGTGTTTCTGGGAAGGGGTGAAGGATGCCTGTCCGCATCCTTGGGAAGGGGCGCGGGAGAGGTGTCACTGAGGAGCGGGATGCCTGAAGAGGGCCCTGCCCAGGCCCCATGTTGCAGCCAGGGAGGTTTCCTGCAGAGCAGAGGAGCTCTTGGTTGGCACAATCTCCTCCAGCGCTGCCCGGGCAGTGCAGTGTGACGGCTGATCCCCTTGCTCTCTCCCTGCAGCTGAACTGTGGCATGCAGTACTTGAGCGTGAAGAGCTCCGTCAACAACCAGTAAGTATGAAACCACTGAGCCCCTGCTGTCCCCAGCCTGTGCTTTGGGGACAAAGCCTTCCTGCCACTGGGCGCCAGAGCTCCTGGTACCCACCCCGGGCTGCAGAAAGCCAGAGGAGGAGAGTGGCCCTGAGCTTCAGCGGGGCCTTGGGGCCCTCCAGGGCTGCCCCGTCCAGCCTGGGTCTATGCCAGGACCCTTCATCTCTGGCCCTGGGAGCACCCCAGCTCCTCCCGTCTCCACTCTGTGCTGCAGGAAGCCGGACACAGTGAAGCAGAAGAACGCCTTCCCACCCAACTTCATCCACTCCCTGGACTCCACGCACATGATGCTCACGGCTCTGCACTGCCTCAGGTAGGGCGCGGGCACCTGGGCCCTTCCGCAGCGCCAGAGCTCCCCGGGCAAAGTGGGAAGGGGTTTCCCTGGTGTGTCCGGGCGTTCTGGCAGAGAAGGGCCAAGAGGAGGCAGCAGGGTGGGGAGGGGGGTTTAGGTGTCTCCCTCTGAAGATCTGCAGGCGCTGAGCCCCCTCCTCGTGTGGTCCCTGCCTGTGTCCTGGCGGGAGGGTCTGCGTCTGGAGTAGGGGCTGTCACAGAGAAGGGGCCCTCGGCACCACTTCATGGCACCTTCTGCTGCCTCCCAGGCAGGGTCTGACCTTCGTCTCGGTTCACGATTGCTACTGGACTCACGCGCTCACCGTGGACGTCATGAACCAGGTAAAAGTGTCCTCCCGGGTCCCTTGTGAGCGAGGAACTTGCTGATCTGTCCTCTGGGCACTTGCCAGCCCTTCCCTCCCCTGGGCTTTGCTCCACGGGCTGATTGATTTACCCAGGCGAGGTGAACCCAGGGTGCTCGCTGGCGGTTGCGGCTGATTTCCTGGTGCCCTAGCCCCATCTCCTCCTGCCCTGCGGGGAACGTGTGGGGGACAATGTGTGCCTGTACATCAGGGCCTCTTTCCCCTGGAGTGCTGTGAGGGCTGTTGTGCAGTCGATGGATGAATGGGGGTGAGCCTCTGCTCCCCACCTCTGCAGGCTGATTCCCATCACCCTTGTCCCCCCTTCCCACCCTTGCCCGCTGCTTTCCCTCCCCTCTGACCTGTCTTGGCTGAGAAGCGCTGAGGGGAAGGAGGGGAAAACGCCTCCTAACCTGCGGCTCACCGTTGCTCCCTGGATCAGATCTGTCGGCAGCAGTTCGTGGCTCTGCACAGCGAGAGGATCCTGCAGGATCTGTCCGAGTTCATGCTGGAGAAGTACTGCAGGTATTCCTCACCGAGCCCCTCCCTCCCCACACGGGTTCACTCCCTGGGGGTGCTTGTGCCCAGCCGCTCGCGGCCGGGG